TAGGAGAAACCGAACAACTGTGTACCAGAATGAATGCACACCGAAAAGCCATCAGAGACAAAAATACCCAATTACCTGTGGGTGCACATTTCTCACAAGACAACCACTCTGTCTCCAGTCTCTCAGGGCTCCTATACATGCGCAGGGAGTGTGCTCTGACGCGCTGTCATTCCAGCACGCTGGAGCAGACTCGATTGAGCGTGGAAATTACCACGCGCCAGCACCCTCCAGCTTCACACGTATCAGCTGAAAAATGCCAGTGAGGAACTTTAAACTTAAACCCATTCAAGTTTTAGTTCAAAGTGTCCCACGGCCATTTTTCAGCACAGGAACGCTGATACATGTGACGCTCCGGGCTCTTTTAATTAGCGCACCTCTGGGAGCTGCACTAATTAAAGTGCCCTCCCTACGTCTCCGGGAGCACGTGTATAAACGCCCCCTGTTCTGATCCTCAAAGGGAATTTACAAAACACCTTTCATAGATGAGCCTACAAACTTTACTTCATAAATCTATAGGATACAAAAAAACATGGACTAAACATAGGCGCTGGATTTATGGCACATGGCCATCTGATAACCTCTCTACATTTTACCAGCTACATTTACCCGGGAGGGTCAACATTCCGCCCCACACCTACCTGCCTCATACCTATTAACTCACACCCCTCTGATCTTCCCTGCCATGCATTTGCATTTGCACAGACCTGCATTTTGCACGTTGGCTTAAGCTTCTATTCCACCCAAGCGTTGGTGGTTGTAGGTTGTCGGGCTAAGGACACAGGCAGACAAGAACCTAAAGATCCTTGTCCGCCTGTTCCACCTGAGAGAACGCACAGACACCTGCAGACTCTCCCAGTACCTGAAGAATGGTGTTTGTGCCCCAAAGCTTGCAAAGAACAATTTTTCCAACTATTTATTTAGGTGGTCTAATAAAAGATATCGCATCTGCCCAAAGAACTTTGTCTACTTATATAGAAATGCATTTGACTGTTATAAGCATAGTTACACCCTGCACATCACAGAGCAATGTGCTCACAACAGGACTCTCAGATACCCAGGGGGGATAAACTTCCACCCCCTACCTCTCCTGTGCCAAAAGGAGTTTATTTTCTACCTTGGAGGACTTTTACAGTCTTTGAATTCTCCTCAGCCTGAAGGATTCATAGATTCATAGACGTCAGGGCTGGAAGGGACCTCGGAAGATCATTGAGTCCATCCCCCTGCCCCAGGGGCAGGAAGTCAGCAGGGGTCATAGGATCCCAGCAAGATAAATACCCAAATGTGTCTTGAAGGCATTCAAGGTAGGCACTTGAACCACCTCCGGCGGCAGTCTGTTCCAGGCCTTGGGGGCTCGGACAGTAAAGAAGTTGTTCCTTATGTCCAGCCTGAAACGTTCATAGAGGAGTTTGTGACCGTTCGACCTTGTCATCCCTTGGGGTGCTCTGGTGAACAGACATTCCCCCAGATCCTGGTGAGCACACATGATAAACTTATAGGTGGCCACCAAATCACCCCTGGGCCCGCGCTTTTCCAGGATGAAGAGTTGCATGGCTCTCAGCCTCTTATCATAAGGTCTGTATTCCTGACCTCTGATTATGCGCGTGGCTCTCCTCTGCACTCTCTCAAGCTTCTCCACATCCTTTCTGAATTGTGGAGCCCAAAACTGGACGCAGTACTCCAGCTGCGACCTCACCAAGGCCGAGTACAAGGGGAGGATGACATCCCAGGATTTGCTTGAGAAGCATCTATGGATGCAGGCCAGCGTTTTGGTCGCTTTACTAGCCGCAGCATCGCATTGCAGGCTCATGTTCATCTTGTGGTCAATGATGACCCCCAAGTCCCTTTCATCCGTAGTGCTAAGGAGGATGTATGTGCTCGAAAGCTTGCAAAGAAAGGAATTTTTTTACCACTATTTGGCTGGTCTAATAAAAGATATCAGACCCAAAAGCTTTGTGTATCTAGTTATACCTGAGACTTTTAGCCTGAGGCTGGGGTGGTCTTTATCTACAGCATTATTGCTGAAGCGGTACATCTTTTATCCATAGGGAAGGACGATGATTTTGTGGCCTGTGCCTTATTTATGCTACGTGGTGTCACAAGAAAGGGATGTTAAGACGCTGTGTGATCCAGCGTACTGCTATAGACCTGGGCAAGTTCTTGATTAAATGTATTCCTCTGGCAG